CATAGAGCTGTCCTTGCAACAACAGTAAATACCAAGTGCCAGCCACAGAGGGCAGTGTTCTCAGCACCTTGTAGGTATTAACTCATTGACTCATTTACTCCTCACAACACCCTGGTTTGGACAGTACTGATATCACCCTATTTTACACATGAGTAAACTGAGACCCAGGCTATTATTTGCTAGTAACTCACTGACATGGCTAGTAAGTGGCAAAGCTGAGGTTCAGACCCAGTCTGGCTCTAGAGGCCGGGCTCATAACCACACCCCCTCTTCCCTCTTCCAGGCAGCTGCGCCTGCAGCTCAAGCTGCAGATGAGGCCTCGGGCCCTGGAGGAGGGAGAATGAAGAGACAGTGGTGCGTTGATTATGTGCTTGAGAACCCACCAAGGTCCTTCCTCCAGCTCTTCTCATCATAACCACTTCCACTTCCCCACAGCCCTCAAGCGTGCGGCCCCCTTCCAGCGGGTGTAGGGAAAGGATTTCTTTCCTCTCCACCCGGTGGATGGAGGGCTGGGCATGGCGTCTGTGGGAAAGAATACAGCTCAGATCTCAGCTCTGCTTAACTGCCCGTGCGGCCTGGGGAAGTCCTGTCCCTCTGTGGGCCTCGGTTCCCAACTGTGAACAGAGAGGGTAGGCTGGGAGACCATTATGGGCTCGAGAAGCATCCACATTCTAGAGCCCTGCTTTAAAGACATTTTGAAAATGAAGATCTTTGGCCAGGCCGCTGGCTGAGTGTCAAAGCCCAGTACGCATGGGGGCGTTGGCCACAGGATGGGTTTGCCTCCAGAACAGATAACCTGCAAAGCGGTCCATCAGCTTGCCAACTGACCCAGGGCTGCCCCTTCTCTCAACAGTTTCTCACAGGAAGCCAGGCTGGTTGTATTTTTTAAGCTGACTTGAGTCACTGATGGCCGCACTATGCTAGATCCTGGGGCCACAGGGTGAACCAAACACAAGCCCTGGCCTCTCAAAGTTCCCAAGCTAGCGAAGGCAGACTTTAACCTTTCTATTCTCCTTCAGCACCCAACTGGAACACTCCCCTCTTGCAGGAGCCCCCTGGCTTCCTCAACCGACTTCCAATGTCCCCCTGGTATGGTGCATACCTAGCCCACACCCAGGAACTTTCTAGGGCACCATGACCCACAACCCCTGGACTCTGAAGAAATCGAGCCAGACCCTGGCATCCCCACCCCATGCAGGGGTGTTCAGCAGGTAGTGTCAGAATTGTTGTTTGGCAATAAGACCTTGTGGCACAGCTCACACCTATCCTGGCTAGAAGGAAAACTCCAGCCTGATCCAGCATCTAGGCTCTGGGCACTTGGCTAAGGTCATTCTGTGCTGGGCTCAGAAGCTCCTAAGCAAGCAAGATCACTGTGATGTCCAAATGTTTCAAGTGACCGGCAGAGAGGCAGGGTCACCCCAGGCCAGTGGAGAATGCAGGCTTTGAATCCCAGGCCTGCAAAAGCTCCGTAGGCTTTAGTTTTATCATCTCTAAAAAGGCTAGCAATGCCCACTAGCAGAGTCACTGTGCAGCTTAACCTAGCTGACATGCACATGGCTGCGGTGCTCCAGATCGTGCTCCCCTCCTTCCCAGCCCCTCTGAGGCTGGCATTCACTACCCACAACACACTGAGTCTGCACCAAAGCTCATTCTGGGCCCCCTCCCACCCTGTGCCCCATAGGCTGTACAGCGTCTACTAGGGCAAGACAGGGCCCCGATGTGATGAGACACACCCTGCTGAGTCCTAAATTGGGCATGTCCAGAGCAGCAGCCCCAGAGGGCAGCCACCTGGGAAGAGGCGGGAAGGATCTGTCCTAACCAGTCTATGAAGACAGCCCCTGCCTCAGGTACCCAGCCTGGCCTAGGCCTGACAACCTGCCTGTGGAGACACCCACTGGCCAGCATCTCCCGCCTGTCCTTTGGCAGAGGCTGCCCATTGCTGGGCAGCTGGCAGCACAGAGCAGGGCACGGACAGCTCAGCTTGGACTTGTCCTTCACCCCACGGGTGGGTGGTGCCATGGGAATAAGCTCTGGAGTCAGACAGACTGGGGCTCCAATTGCAGGTCCACTCTGTACTGGTTATGATCCTCCCTGACCCTCAGTTGTCCCATCTTGAAAATGAGACTAGGATCATCCATCTTGTCGCATGGTTGTTAGGACCAGTATCACTGATGCTATAAAGAACCTAAGAGGGCCGGGCATGTAGTAAGCACTGGAGAAAGGCCCCCCTCTTCATATACAAACGGGACACCTGTTGGGATCCCTACAAGGGGTAGCCAAGGGAGGGAGGCTGGGGTCAGGAGAGACCCCAAGGCAGCTCCAACCCCAAGCCAGCGCCGAGGGTACAGAATCTACCCAGATTCCCTATCCAGGTTTGTCACAGTCTTTGGAGAGATTTAATGGGGGTGGTTTCTCCTCCTGGGAGAGACCCCAACATCCCCCAGCGAAGCTGAAGGTCAATCAGACCTGAAAGGCGGCTTTGTTCTTCCTGGCTTTTCCGTTACGCATGAAAGAGCAGACAGCGGGTGCCCAGGATTCATAATTTGAGACATCCAGAGACTAAAGACATTGGCCAAATTTAAACCGAAAGATGAACTTGTTGGGTGTCTTTTCAGATTACGGGGGAAGAAGAAAGAGAATTTAGTCACCCAGGATCCACTCAGAATTCACAGCGTCTGCCGCCGGCTGACATCTCGGGGCTTTGCCTCTGGGTTTGAACACTTTGAGAATCACTGTTTGAAAGGAACAAAGCATGAATGTCTGAGGAGACCCCCACTGGAGCCTGGAGAGCGGCTGTTCTGTGAGGGCTGTGCCTGCGGGTCGCCAGGTCACAGGCACCACGACCGCAGACATGGCTCCTGGGAGGCCACAACATCGTGGGTCAAAGGTCACATTTCTGAGTCTGGGCTGTGGCTCTGCCAAGTGCCGGAAGGTGACTGCCTTCCTCTCTGCGCCTTGGTGCCTGCATCTGTAAAAGGGGCTGATCCCATCGGGCTCCACAGGGCTACTGTGATGAGACAAAGCTGAAAGCTCAGCAGAGCCCGTGCACAGAGTAAGAGCTCAGTTAACAGCAACTCTTGGTTGTCAATTTTACTTTCATTCCTTAAACGTATTTGCTCCAAATTTCCTGAGATAACCTTTAGATAAGCCCTCTAAGGACACCACCAATATGACAGTGGTCACCTTTGAGTCTCATAAAACCAGGGAGGTAGGAAGGGTGGGGCTTATTGCACCCTTTTTCCAGGTGGGGAAATTGAGGTTCAAGGAAAGAAGTTGACTGATCCACTTAAGTCTCTAAGTGGCAGAGCCAGGGCTAGACCTTGGGTCTCCAAAGCCACTTTCCCCCATCCCCCATCCCAGTGCCATCACACCCAAGTCACACATCCTGAATCCACTTGGACCCTGTCCGGACTGCCACCCCCAGCACTGCGCCCCAGGCCCAGTTTGTGTTCAGCATAGTCTGTCAAATGAATAAATTTTGAGGACCCATTTGAGAATGTGATGGAAATGATAGACAACACCCTCCCCAAGAAAAACGTACACACACACAATTGCATGCACATCCTGGGGCTTCGCAGACCCTGGTTACGAAGTCCAAACCTAGGTTTTCAGAGACCTCTTGGGTGCTGACCCTACTGAGGGGCCCAGAGATGACCTCATCACACCCATCTGCTGAGTGAAAAGGGCGTCCTGATGGGCTCCAGCCTGTGGTCACTGCTGCTCCGCCCACCGGAGGGCAGGAGCTGCTGGTCGCCCACTCCCACATTGTCCTAGGTTGCTCCATCCAAGTGCTCTTTGTGTTTCCAAAAAGAGAGCATTTATTACTTGTCCTTTCCTCATTAGAAATTCCTTTACAACAACACGGAGAAAAGCACAAGACTTATCTGTAGGCACACGGGGAGCACACCAACCGCAGGTGCCCAGAGACCACGGTGAAGGCCGCAGTCCAACATATACAAACACAGCCCGGCCCTTCTCAGGGCTCCTGGACCCCAGTGCCAAGGACAGCTTGTCAGGCCCAACCCACGCTGCCTCATGACAAAAACAGGGGCTGATACCAAGGTCAGGGGAGAGCAGCAGGGGTGTAGGGGCTGAGCAGAGAAAGGAAGTTGTATTTTGATAAAGGCCCTACAAACCCTACCCCGCCCCTCACCCAGGCACTTCTGTCTTTGTGTTTTGGTATAAGTGCTTAGACAAGTAGATTCTAAGAAATGGTGTTTTCCTGGGCTGGGGAAACCTGCTCTGACTATCAGCAGTGTCTTACTTAAGATTAGCAAAGCAAGACCCAGGAGGCACCTCATGATGGTGAAGTGCTGGCAGCTTGGCTGGGTTTCAGGATGTGGGGAGCCCTGTGGAGACTAAGACGGAGGCAGGAAGGAAGACCCTGAAAACAGGCTGCTGCTGGTGTGTCCTGACCCGGGAGGTCAAGAGTGTCAGGATGCTTAGAGTTTGGTTTTGTTTAACCGCCTGAATTAACAGACGTCAAACAATTCCATTTTCCCGGAAATCAACAGCAATGAGGCAGCGAGCAGGGCACGGAGGCCCCTGCCAGTTCTGTGTGGAAAGGCACCAGATGGTTTGTTACAAAACACATTTTGGTCATGAAATAGCTGGGGTTTTTGGTTTCTGGGAGGACAACAAAGCTAGAAAAAAGGATGTGTGAACTGTGTGAGGCATAGGTGAGAAGGCAGCTTTGGCATCAGGTCTGCGTTCTACTCTAGACTCTACCCCTTTCACGCTGGTGGCCTCAGTTTTCTCATCTATAAAAGGGCAACAAAATATTCTTCCTCAAATCCAGGAAGTACGGGAGGTGGGGCTCAGGGACACTCAGACACAGATAAAAGGGAGGAGTGAGCACAGCTCATCCATATGGGGAAAAGTGGCGGGGGATGCCACTGGAGGGCAGCCATGCAGCAGACTCTGGGAGTCCATGGGCAGCTGGTCACACTGGGTCAGAGCACTGACGGACCATCCTCGGGGACTTTGGGCCCCTTCTCGTGGAAGGGCAGCAAGAAAGCTCTTTGCACCGCAACACCGTCGTGCACCCTGGGAGCCACACCTGTTGTGTGTGCTTTAAAGTGCCAGCTGTGTGTCATCTTTGGTCAGGGGCCGCCCCTCTGTCTCTGAGAATCCCCAGGTCCAGGGGCTCAAACCCAGGCCTGCTGGGGCCCCTGCGGCAGACAAGCAGAAGGATGCAGTCCTCTATGAGGCTGCAGTGCCCTCCTGTGCTCAGAAGGTGACAGAAATGAATGCTCCTACTGCCTTCAGTGAGGAGCAGGGCTGCCTCCAGGGAAATCTGGGTCCTTAGAGAAAAGGGACAAGAAATGCTTTGGTCACTGTCCGGACACCCACAGCAGAGCAGAGCTTGCTCAAGAGAAGGCAGGAAGCTGGTTTTAACACTGCGCTTGTGCCTGACATAGAACCAGCTTCCGAGTTGAACCAGAAGTCACTGAATAAATATTCAAGGCACCTTTCAGTTCTTAGACAGCGGGATTAAAAAAAAGGTTCCTTTCCTTTGCTTGGCTGGCTGCAGCTGTGATCTGTAGGCTGACAGTGCTGTGCACCAGAAGAGGGTGGCTGGGGGTCCTGGGGCTGCCCCACCCCAACCGCAGGAGACTTTGGTCACATGCCCCGGCAGCCCTGGGCGCTCAGAAGCTGAAGAGATCGTCCTGCTCAGTGCTGCTGCTGTCAGGCTTGTCCCAGTCGACGGGTGAGAGGCACTGGGCGTCATGGATGTCCTGTGCTGTCAGTCCAGTGTCCAGGAACTGAGGGTTTGTCCGAGATTGGGCGAGCCTGGAAGGCAGAGCTGTATGAGCCGAGGGCCCAGGCAAGGGGCTGGCGGGGGCATGAGGAGGCAGTCCAGCCCAATCAGCACCAGGGTCAGAAGTGAGAGGGCACGGGTGGGAAAATGCCAGGACACAGGGGCCAAAAAAGAAAGTCTCAGATGTCAGGAGAGGTAGAGTCTCTAAGCAGACAGCCTACCCTTGACGGTCAAACGGCTCAGAAAACTGTGGGGCAGGCAGTGGCATTCTCGCCATAGAGACGCGGGGGCACCCACACCGTTCACGGCTCCATCGGGAAATGCCCAAGAAAGGGGCAAGGGCGGCACCGGCGAGGGCAGCGAGAGGGGCACACGTGGGAGGGAGACAGTACAACCACGAAACTGTTGGCTGTAACTATGTTCAACACAGTGCCATCCAAAAATGAATTTAACAAGGGGGACAACCTAAGGAGCGAACAGGGGAGAGTTAAGTAAATTACGGCCCATGTCCTTAAAGGAATGCAGGCAGTGGATGAAAGATGTGTGTGTGCCTAAGGCGTTTTCAACAGCCCGGAGAAATGCTCCCGATTTGTCAGTGATAAGTGAAAATCAGGACCCCCAAATGTAAATATGACGAGCTGATCAATGCAAAACAATGCATCTGTATAGGATTAAGCCCAAAAGCCTGGGCTGTGGGATTATGGGTTATTACTTCCTATTTAATGCTTTGCTGATTTTTGAAGTTCTTAATAAAAGGAACATGATACTTGGGTAATCTGGAAAAAGCAAATGGAAGATTTTCTTCAAATGAGCCAGCCAGCAAAGCAGGGAAAACAGTAAACGAATGTCTTTGCCTCCAGGAAGGAGCCACACATGCTGGTCCCCGCCTCCGGGGCCAGGGGCTCCCCAGGCTCGGGCAGGAAGGGCTTGAGGAGGAGGGAGAGGAATGTAGGGGGCTGCTGGGTGTCCCCAGGGAGAAAGGGAAGCCAACTGGGAACCCTGAGCTGCCGGGCCTCTCCTCAGCCTTCTCGGTGGCCCTTTCCCAAGCTAACGGTAGCCATGGCTAAAGGGATGGCCCCCGGGAAGGAGAAATGCCACCACCCCAGGCTAAAGGAAAGTATCTCCTTGCTGTGCCTGACATTACTCCTCTATGGAATGCTCTGTGGGCTTGAGTGAGCACTGCCTTCTCCCTGCCCCTTTCCATAAATGTAAAACCTCTGGAGGGAACAAAGGCTGCAAAAAAGCCACTTTTTGAAGGTTACACCAGGTGCAGGAAGAGGAAGTCTGCCTGAGCAATAGCAGTGTGTTTAGTTCAGCTCCAACTACGGTAAAGCAGCCACTAGGAATAGTTTCTGACTTAATAGCAAGAGCTTTCTAGCAGACCTAGCCAACCCCAGGCAGTGAGGTCCCCATCCCTGGAGGCATTCAAGTTGAGATTTTTGTTCTGGAGAAGGTCAGAATTCATGCTCTCAGACATGGCAAAGGGCCCCAGAGACCAGCCGACAAATGCCAGGCCTCCTTCCCCAGCAAAAGGAGCCCAGTAATGTTACCTTGAAAATGCTTCATCCAGGTCATCATCCAGCTCCTTGGGGAAAACAAAGTGGGAGATATGAACCCTAGGTCGGGAGGCCCATGCTCATAGCTGGGACTTGTCCCAGCCCTGGGTAAGCTATAGGGACTCCAGCACAAGCATAGGAGTCTGGTGAGCACCTGAAGGAACAGGCATAAGCAGGTCTCCCACCTGGCTACCACCAGCAGCACCTCAGCCCAGGGACCCAAACCTGGGATGTGGAACAGGAGAAAGAGCGCCTGGGTGGGTTCCATTCCCAGCTCTGTCACTACTTGAGTGACCCCTTAGGCAAGACACTACTCCTCTTTGAGACTCTGCTTTTCCTCCTGTCAAGTGAGGGGGTTGAGCTGAATGACTGCTAAGGCTTTCAATTCTGAGAGGAGGAGGGCGGGGAAGGTTTTTTTGCTTTCATCTGCTTCCAAAAGCCCAGCCCAAATTCCAAGCTCCAGGGAGAGCTGCCTCAGTGGGAAAACAATGGGCGAGGCCTCCGCAGTCTCCCTGAGCATGGGCAGGGGCCAAGGGTGGTTCCAGACAGCGGAGAACAGGCTCAGCGCGCCTGCTCAGTGGACGCTGGGCGGCCCCCAACTGGCAGCGGGATTTCACAGTTTTTCATGTCCCTCAACGTGCCAGATTATTTAAAATTAAAGAGCTATGACAAGTAATGTGCGATTCTGCAATGGACCTTGGTCCAGAAAAAGGACACCGTGGGGACAAGTGGTGAAATGTGAATAAAGCCTAAGATTATATAATCGTGTCGTATCAGTGTTAATGACTTTGATCACTGTAATGTGGTTACATAAGATGCTAAGGTTTGGGAAGTCTGGATGAAGGGTAAACAGGAATTCTTTGCATTGTTTTGTAACATTTTATAATTCTAAAATTATTTCCCAATGAAAACTACTTTTAATTTTAAAAATCAGGTTCCTCTGGGAGATGCTGCAGGCAGAGGTCATCGCCCTCACTGAAGGGATGAAAAAGCTGGGACACAGAGGTCAGGGGTCTGCCCTAAGTCACAGAGCGTGTCAGGGACCAACTGCTGACTGCCCAAGTCTCAGACTTCTCATTCAGTGGCTAAGCGAGGAGGGGTGTCAGGAGCCAACTGCCCACACAGAGAACAAGGGAGCCTTTAGCTCGTCCTGTGGTGGGTTGAGCTCTGGGTGCTCAGGCCAAGAGGCTGGGCATTGTGAGGAGACAGCTGTGCTGGGAGCCAGGCCTATTGAGGACGTAGCCCTGGGTTCAAAGGGGACATTGTTTATCCCCTACCCTGGGTCTGGGTGCTGCTGGGCTGGGTCTGACCCTTCTAGATGCCTGTAAGTCATGGGTGCCAGGCCCTGGACCACCCTTAGGCCTCACCCCAGGAACAGGCTGAGGCTCACTGGATCCCTGTGGGGTCAGCAGGCCACATGAACACTCACCCAGACAACGCTGCTGTTATTCAAGGCTTGAGGCCTCAGTGACTCGTCGACATTAGTGGTATTAGCGCTGACCGTGGACAGCGGGGCCTTGGCCATCTCTTCCAAGTCCAGCAGGTTCCCAGTGGCGACCACTGTGAGGGGTCCGGTCAGATGTGTCAGTGGGAGAGGAGCCTCCTGGGCTGTCCTGGTCCGGACTCCCTCCTTCGGCATGGCCTTTCCCATGTCTATCACTGAGACCACCCAGAGCCCGACTTTGGTACCTCCCAAAGCGGCTGAACAGCTGCCCCCAATGTGAGAACTTCTCCCCAACTAATGGTTTAGGCTGGAACTTTTATATTCACAACAGGTGTTAAGTTTTTAGGAGATCCCACACAGGATGTAAAGTATATACAGGGAGGTATATACATATGTTCATATTTTTGCATAGGAACCTATGTGGAAGAACATGCGTCATAATGAGTAACTTTTCCCCTTTATCTCCATTTTCTAATTTATAACGACCATGTATTATTTATTTAACAACAAAACAAAAATAAAAAAACCAAGAGTTTGCTCCAGCCCAGGAGGGAGTGGGGCCCTCTGGGTAAAGGGCAGACCCCATGTCATGCAGCTGATTCCACCCCCTCCCCCTGCCCAAGACTCACGGTTCTTCAACGAGGGGGTGCTGTCGCCGCGGCCCCCGCCCAGGCCATCCCCTCCCTCTTGGCTGGCTTTCTCCCTCTTCTCCTTCTCTGTGGGACCAAGGCACAGCGCTTTAGCGCCTCTGACCCTAGCACTCCGACCCCAGCACTCCGTCCGGGGAATTGCTGGGCAGGGAGTAAGCTATGGCCAACCTCAGGGGACAGGGGTAGGTCTCCAACAGGGAGGAAAGAAATGCAGATGTCAGTTAATCTCCACAAGCACTTTGGGGGGAGAGACAGCTGTTTCCATTTCCTCAGATAGGGACACTGAGACTCAGAGAGGTAAAGGGACCGTCCAAGTCATACATCAGGTAGGTAATGAAGGTGGGAGTCAGCCCAGGCCTTTACCAACCCCTCCCCACCCCATTCTGCCAGCCTTCTTCAACACTCCCTCTACCCCCACCCCAATGTCTGTGAACAAGGCTCACCTTCCTTGGATACCTGCCAAAACTCAAAGGCAACTTTGAAGGCCTGGGCTACTGTGAGGGTGACAGCCTGCGCCTGAAAAACAGGAAGTGGGGTCAGGGGAGGGGTGCATATTAAGCATGTAACAGCAAGTCTGAACTGGAGGCTGGGGGTCCTGGCCAGGCCCACCCTGGCTCCATTCCAAGGCTCTGGAATGCCTGATGGATGGAGGCAGAGTCCTGGCCCCTCCCAGGTCACAAAGCAGCCAGGTTATAATGAGGCCACACCCTCTCCACCGGTTGGGGGGGGGTGGCATCTTCACCACCTGTAGCCCAGCCAAGGTTCCCACCCTCATTCCAGCCCTCCCGCCTCGGCAATGGCTGTTCACCTCCACCTTTTTCCCTTCCCTTTGGGCTTCCCTAAATTCAATTAAGTGTAAGGCTTACTTCCTCTGAGAAGTCCTCCCTAATTACTAGAGGACCTCACATACTTACTTAACCCTTGGAATCAAAAAACAGAAAAGCCAGAGGTGGAAAGGGTCCGACCACTGTCTGAATGAGCTACAGCAGCAAAGGTCACACTGGTTAGTACTATACAGAGTCAGAGGGCTTATAACTGTGTCCCAGAAAGGCAGTAGGAAGCTTATACATTTCCTGGCAGGAGCAAGATGTCAATGAGTGCCCATGGCAGGGAACCAAAGCCATTCAGTGCCATAACCCACCTGGAAGGAGGGGCCACACCCTGGGCCTTCACCCTTGGGGAACTCCCATCTACTCTTCAAACCCAACTCAAATGTCACCCCCTTTCTCATGTCACAAGCTCACATGCCTGTGTCATCCCATCTGGGTGCTCCCTAAAGGCAAGAATCACCACCCTCCAGAGGTGCAACAAGCTGGCTGAAGCGCATTGTCCCAAGAGGCAGGCATCCTGAGGCTTCGCACTCCCACATTCAATTCAACCCCTTCCTCTCTCTGATTCTAGTTCAGGGTTACTCAGTCAGCTTCTGGGAGTGCAAGTCCCAGAGCTCATAGCTATAGCTGGAGGCGACACCTAGCTTCCTTCGGAAAGCCTGGGCCTAGGGAAGAAAGGCCCGTACCCTTTCAAGTGTACAAGTTCAGGCTTAACCAGCCTCTGCCCCATTCCCTTCTTCTCCGCCAGACAACTCAATTTAACTGAGAAATGAATCCGTGGCTACTGCCTTTAGGTTTTTTTTTTTAATTTAAAATCCCTAAACAAGCTGACTGATCCATGCCAATTAAACTTCACGAAGTATAAAATCTCATTTGAATGTCTCCGTCATTTACATTTTTGATGGCAGTATGGGCACTTTATGGCAAAACTTAAATATGGTAATTAAGTATGAAACTCTTCACAGCTGTTTACAATTTAAGCTGTCACATCTGAATCAAGTTTAATAGACCCAGTTACCATTGAGAATTGCCCATGAACTAAAAATATGGACTAATTACAAGCCCGAGTCCAATCACTACACACCCAAGCAAGGGATGGTCACTCAGTGCAGCAGGGAGATGAAAACACCATTATTTTTGCCTCCAGGAAATCTGTGAGCACAAGCCTGATAGCGTTTTTGCATAAATCTGCTTGTTCATTTGCATACACGCCTGCCCTTTTGCCCTGAAGTCCCAAGCTGTAAGTTAAACCAAATATAACCCAAGATTCGGAGGTGTACAGGTGGCTGCAAGCCCAGGCTGAGCAAGGACTGGGAGGGGGTTGGGCCCTGCTTCCTGGGGCGGCTGCAGGAATTTGGGCAGCATCAGAAGAAAGGGCTGCCCCAGCCTGCCCTCGGGTAGGGGGGAGATGAGTGGGGGAAGGGGGAGGGAGTCTTCCTGGATTCCACAGGACAGATGTCTATCCCTCTGAGTGTCTCTGGCCTGTGTATCTTATTACCCTGACCAGGTTCTACCTCGCCCAGTTTTTCATGTTCCTGTCACCAGGCTGTTAGGTCCTCAAAGGGACAAGGTCTAGCTTAGGGCTGCAGAGCTGGGCCAGGACCCTGGGATGCCAGATTCTAGCCCAGTACTCAGACCAAGTTGAGCCACATGTCCCTGATAGCCCTGCTGCCCCAGAAACATAACTCTACACAAAAGGATTACCTGAGAAATGCCAATGGCTATGTGAGGGAGGACAGCTCTGCCCCACCCTGCCTGGGGCAGGATTAAGAGCATCATTTTGCTCACTGCCCGTACAGCTGCATCTTCACCTCAGAGCCCAGAGGCTGAAGTGCTTCCTGAGGAGTCCCAGTTGGGCAGATGGAAACGTTTCTTTGCAGAGAAACTTACCCTGGCTGTGCCCAACAGGGGCCACTGGGGAAGGGAGGCCTGGTGGTTGTACTGCCTGGGTTGAGCGGAACTGGTGGGCAATGCAGAAAGGAATCCCTTGCCCCCGACCCCGGATGGGTCATAGGCATCTCACTTATTCAGGCATCCAGGCAAGAGAGGGTGGGGATGTAGAGACCATGGGCCCCAGGCCAAAAGGAGTGAGGATTATGCCAGCATCCAAATTTAAGGCTCCCCTTCGAGATGACTCGACCTCACCACCCTCCCAGGCTCCAGTGACATGAGTCCTAAACTACCACTCACTCCACTGAATTCTGCACCTGTGTCTTTGCGCTTGCTAACTCCTGTGCTGGAGGGCACTCACCTTCTCACCATGCCCACCCCTTTCTCTTGGCCTGGCAAACTCCTACCTATTACTCATCCTTCAGAGCCCAATTCAAAACATCTCCTTCTCTGGGAAGTCTTGCTGACTTCCAGTGAGACTTAATATCCTCCCACTAGAACCAAGACCCCTTTATCCCAGTTACTGAATCCAGCCTCTTCTCCCACCCACCGCCTTGTTCATTTCTCCATGGCTGACTCCCTGGGTCCCCAGTGCCCGACACAGAGCTTAGCCCAGGACAGACAGCAGCAAGCATCTGTGGGGCCACCTGCTGCCTCCTCCCCAGAAACGTCCACTAAGCCCCAAGAATCCCGGGATTTTCACCATGGTCAGGCCACCAAGCCATCAACACACCACCAGCTTGGGCTTAGCTGAGGACTTGGGGAACACAAGAACACCATCCTTGCATCACATGGTCAATTTACACCCCCTTGGGCTGGGCTAGCTCGTCGATGAGCTTCCCCAGGGCTCCCTGAAGGGGGGAGGCAGGTGGGAGAGAGTAGAGAAGCACAAACCATGATCCGACCAATCATCCGACACAGATGAAAACCTGCCAAGAGAGCATGCGTCTGGACCTAAGTGTCCAGCAGGAGCCCTTCCCTCTGCCCAATCGGGGATCTGCTGTCAGCACGAAGCAGTGACCAAGCTGTTTTCCTCAGTAACTGACCTCTTGGCCTGGGGCAGGCTGATCTCAATCGGTCTGTCTAAAGTCCTCTGGATGCAGAGGACCTGGGCCCGGCCTCCCTTCGCAGCTGGGCCAGCACAGGCTTTCTTTTACCTTCCAACTGCGCCTTCCCAGAGGAAGCTTCTACATCTTGGGAGCCCCCTCCCCAATCCGCCGCTCTGCAGCAATGGCCATGGCCAGGTGCCCTGCCCAGCGCCTGCTCTGGTCAGTGGGGAAGAAGAGAGAGACAATGGGGACATGAGCCTGCATTTTTAAGTCTGTATGGACTCATAAGAAACAAAGCCAGGAGTCCAGTGTCATGGAAGAATCCACCACAGCTCAGGGACCTAGGGTATCACGAGGCACAGGCCGAGTGGCCGGTGACACTGAGTCTACCGAAAAAATGGTGCACAAAAGAAACTGGGGCCTTACAGAACAATCCTGGAGGTCACTGAGGTGACCTCCTCATTCTGTTGATGGGCAAGCAGCCCAGAGAAGGGCAGGGTCTTATCCACGGTTACACAGCAAGTACATCAGCCAGGATCACACCCCTCACGTCTTCTCCTGTAGTGGTCCTTCCAAGAAACCTGTGGGACGCTGAATTGTGATCCCAAAGATGCCCACATCCTAATCTCTGGAACCTGTGAACCTTACCTCACATGGCAAAAGGGACTTTGCTGATGTGATTAAGGATTTTGAGATGAGGGATTATCCCGGATTACCCAGTAGGCCCAATCACAAGGGGCCTTATGAGAGGGAGGCAGGAGAGTCCAAGCCAGAAATAGTTATTGATGAAGGAAGCAGAGAGGGAGATTGGCAGATGCCACAATGCTGACTCTGAGGCTGAAGGGGGCCATAAACCAAGGAATGCAGGTGGTCTCTAAAACTATAAACAGCAAGAAAATGTATATCCCCTAGAACCTTCAGGAGGAAAACCACCCTGCCGACCCACTTCAGACATCTGACCTCCAGAACTATACGAGAATAAATCTGTGTTGTTTTAAACACTAACTTTGTGGTAAGTTCTTATAGCAGCAATAGAAAACTTATATCGTATCTAAAGCACGCCTGATGGGTATACCAGTAAGTATGGGGGTCCATTTAAAGACTGTGATGTCCTTGACGTGTTCTTGATGACAGAGGAAAGGGATAACCCACAGGGCATCTCCTCTGAGTTTCCGAGAGCCTGTTTTCCCACTCCACCACTTTTCTCCTTGACTCCCATGACCACAGGGCATGGGGACTGGGGCTCTGTGCTCTGTACACAGAGGTTAACAGAGGCCAAAACTAAATCAATAAATGTGTGGAACCTCTTTCCAGGGCAAATGCTCAGACTTCAGGGGCCAAGGAAAGGAAGGGGGCTTCCAACACCAATGGTTGACTCACTCGGGCTGCCTGCCCCAAAGTTCAAGACAAATGCCTAGAGACCACAGAGATTCCCACTGGTTACAGATAGATGTGGCCAGGGGGTGACCTAGAAATGGGGCCAGGAGTCCCTGGCTCCTGACAGTCATGCAAGGAGGGGGGAAAAACATGGGTTTCACTCTGCCTGGCTAGTTGTGTCATCTTCAACAAGATAGCTTACCTCTATAAGTCTGTTTTCTCATTAAAAATAAAAATAAAAACAATGAAGACAGTAACTGCTCCCACCTCACAGTGCTGTTGTATTAAATAAAAAGATAGCTTAGAGGTGACCACTGAAACAAGCACATAGTACGTACCCAAAAAGTGGCCATTTTCCTCCCTGCTCTGCCACAGGAAGCTGGGCCTTCCTAAGGTTCTCGCTTTTGCTTTTCACCCTGGGCCCCTCTGATCACCAATCTCCAAGGACTAGTCCCAGACAAGGCCCTGCACCTCCAGATCACATTATTAACAGGAGACCCCCCAAAATCTCAAATCCAACAAATCGTGTTATAGACTGGAAGGTGTCCAGGGCACTCACTAGGGATAGGGGCTTGTCAATGCTCACAGCCCACTCTGACAGGTGTCTTGGAGCCCTCAGTTCTCACCACCCACTTGGGGTTCCCAGAGATTTCATACTTTAAATGATGTGCCACCCTGGTCTTGCCTCCCCACCAGACAGGGTCCCAAGGACAGGCTTCCAACGCAAGCAGAGCCTGCTGGAGCTCCAGCCTCTCCCCACTGACCATTTTCCGCTTGGTGCAGAGGAAGGCATGGCACTCAAGATTCTCGTTGTGCTGGCTCTGGGCGATGTAGGCAAATACTTTGCCATGCATCTTGTCTGCTGTGCAGTAGGAGATCCTGAAAGGCAAGTAGGAAATGTCACCAGACCCCAGCATGGGGGCCTGACAACAACCAGCTAGGGCATCTCCCGAGTTCCAGGCAGCCTGCTCTCCCACTCCACCAGTGCGAGGCTCCAGAGAGACAGCCTTGGCCTCTGGGCCTGGCACCCTGGGCCATCCACGGGGGCAAGGGAGGGACCCAGGCTAGGCAGGAAGGAGTGGAGAAAAGACGGGAGACAGGGAACTTCCCCCCTCTACTGAGTCACCCCTAAAGTTGAAATAGTTGAGCCCTTACTGTATACCAGGCAACGTTCAGACATCACCTCATTTAACTCAGAGCTGCCCTCTGAGATGGGTTCTAGTATTATTCCTATTTTTCAGATGAAGCTAGCGTCTCAGACAACCAAGCTAGTGGCAGAGCTGACACCGATCTAATCTGCTGATTCCAGAGGCTGTAACCACTGCCATGCTACCTCTCAAGAGTTTGTGTTGACCAGCTAGAAGGGGAAGCGGGACACTGCCCACCCACCAAGGCCCTTTACCTGGCCTCCCCCTCCCCTACCTGCCCTCCGGTCATGCTGCTGGCCAGAGGTCAGAGGGGTTCCAGGACTGTCCCTCCCAGGGTTCTGAGACTGCTAGCAGATTCTCCTGGAGCTTGGATGAAGTGGAAGGGCTGGGGGTAGGATGAGGAAGTATGGGCCCAGGGGCTCCCTCCTCTTGGAACACTCGCCTCCCTTGTCTGACTCCTCCCTGCTGGCTCCAGTCAGCCTGGGAATCTCAACCAGCAGAGGAACTGGCGGCCCAGAATGGGCTGACTCCCTTGCCCAGTGTGGCCCCAGCTTCAATCACAGGCATTGACATAGGGATTAGTACCACTTAAGACCCCCAGGTGGGCAGAGGAATGGGGTACCAGGTCCCCAGCTACCTCTTCTCCATCCAGAGGATCCAGCCTCCTGCCACCTCCCCTGGGAGGCCTTCCCAGGTTTCCCCGGGCAGGCCCTTCCTTTTCTGCCCTCTTGGGAAATACTTATACTCCATCTCCTATTTCCTTCCCTCCATTCCCTCCTAGACTAGAAGTTCCTTGAGGGCAGGGCTGGGTCTGACACCTCGCAACCTGGTTAAAGGAGGCAGAGAGAATCAAGAAGGTGAAAAATACGAGCCAGAAACTACAAAACTACCACCACCCCAGTACTGGCCTGTGCTCCAGCCAACTAAGCCACCTGCTTAGAGACAACGCAATATGGTAGAGGGATGCCTGACAGACCAGGGCCTGCTGGACAGAACTCAGGTCTTGGTGTCCTGGTCCCTACTAACTCACTGTGAGACCTTGGTGGACCTGAGGCCTCTCTGGACCTCAGACTCTCCATTTGTAATATGAATCTCTGCTGTCCCTCTCAGCTCTGAAATCTTACAACTGACCAGCTGAGAGAGGACAGGGAAAGCATGCGGCTCCAAGGGCTGGGCTCTGCCTCCTCATAAGCAGGGCACTCCTCCCACCTCATACCATCTACACTCTGGCCTCAGACTCTGCCTTCAGATATCACCTCATTTAATTCAGTGGCTTCCCTGGATACCTGGCCAGATGTCCAGAGCAGAGCTGCTGCATTCACAGTGGAAGGAAAGAACTGGGACTCTGCAGCTCTCTGCTCCAAGCCTGACTTAGCAGCATGCTTGGGGTGGGGAGAGCAAGGGGAGATGTGGTTCCCACTCCTGATCAGGCCTCAGCTGCCTGCTGCAACTAGTGAGCATGACAGCAGCAACTGTCACTTAACCAAGCACCCATTGTGAGCCAGGTGCTGTGCACTCTGCGCTTCAGAACAGCACTGAGGCAGGATCTATTTCCACTTCAACTTACAGATGAGGAAACTGAGGCTCCAAAGGTCATTCAGAAAGGGAGTGATAGAGCCAGGCTTCAGACAAGGCATTCTACCCACTGCCCCAACTGGCAGAATGAATGTGAGCAATGCTGAGCTTACCTGTAAATGGACACGTTCTCAATGAGTTGGTTGGTGATACCATCAGTCAGGATAATCCCCCGGGGCGACACCTTGAGAGTCACCTTCTGCAGCTTCTTCCCGCTGGCCTTGGCCTTGGGGCAGACTTGAGTCAAAGAAAGGACCCACCCTTGTGGCTACACCTAGCTCCTCCAGGCCCCAAACTCCAGACCCAAGTGAGGCCTCAGCTTAGGTGACTGGAAGACATGATTTAGAAGACAATTTAGCTAACACCTTCTTCTGCCAAGCACTGATCCTTGAGTTATCACAGGCAGCAGTGCCTCTTCCCAGGAGAAAATGGACCCAGAGAGGTTAAGGGACTTGCCCAAGGACACACAGCTACGAGGGAGCTCACACTCTGAGTGCTGACTGGGTCATCACAACCCAGCAGGATGACTCCTGGAGACTCTCTGCTCCACCCACTGACCCTGGCTATAGGGCCTGAGCTGAGGGGTCTGAAACCACCTAGGGAGGTGGATTTATAGGGCCCAAGTTTACTCAGAGCTGAAGAGGGAATAATCTGGTCTCTGGTATGCTAACCTGCCCCTCAGGCCACAGAGCAAGTGGCTGGGTGACAGTAACCTCCCCCATCCCTTCCTAGCATTAAGTTACCAACCATTAGGCAAGGGGCCTGAGTTGGGCGAGAAGAGGCTGGGAGAGGACATGGCCACAACTGCTAGAGAGGAGGACACTGACCCTCACCCCACAAGCCCAACTGCTACTCTTTACCAGAGTCCCTGATGCAAGGGAACTCAAGGGCAGAGACAGGTCAGACACATTCAATTGGGGTAATAATCAGGAGACAAGCAGCACCCCAGAAGGAAGCTGTCCCTGACTCCTGGCTCCCCCAGCTGGGGCTCACCGTGGCCACGATCCTCTTGACGGCGGCCGCTGACATCTCCTCGCCCTTGGGTTGCTCCACCAGCGTCATGCCCAGGTACTTGAGGCTGAAGAGCATCCCCTCGAGCAGCGTCTCCCGAGTGTCTGTCCAGTTCTCAGGCAGCTCTGGGCAGGAGGACAGGTGCTCAGACCCTGCTGGGCAGGCCCACCCCAGCAACAGCTCTCGCAGTCCCTTTTCCCAGGGAGACCCAACAAGGGGCTGAGGCCATGGGGTCCTGCCATCTACCATTATAGTTAATAAAGGGCTAAACTAACATTTTCCAGTATGTACCAAGTACTCTGGTAAGCTTTACATCAAATACTCTCATTAATCCTCATGAGAACTTAGAAGGTAAATACTTTATCATACCGATTTATTTACAAAGACACTAAAACCCAGGGAGGCAAAATCATATAACCAAGTCCAAAGGGCCAGCAAGTACAAGAGCCAAGATTCGAACCCATACATTCAAGTCCAAAGCCCAAACTCAACTTCAGTGCTAACAGTTGCTGAGGGCAAACCGTATCATTTTCTCACTGAATCTCCATCACAATCTTATCTCCTGTAAGGTGGATATTATCCCCACATCAGAGATTAGGAAACTGAGGCTCAGAGAGGCAGTCATCAGACAAAGGCCCCATTCGATGGGTAAAGAAAGAGACGAAACAGAGCTATCAAGTAACAGAAGACAATAATCACAAAGCAAGAGCTCCTAGCATTACCTCAAATACTCAAGGCTACCTAGCAAGCAGGCATTTTTTATTCCCATTTCACAGAGGAGGAAACTGAGATTCAAAGGACCAGTAATATGTCCAATTAGCTGTCTATTCAACTCGAAAGCCCAAAACCTATCCATTAGGCAAGACTATCTGCCCATGAGGCAAACTACCTTAACATTAGCAAAAGGTCAGAGAGAAGTTCCTAGAGCCACAGTTATTTCCTCCCGAAGTCCATAATTCCCGAGGCTTACCCTCTGTTAGTAGATAACAGGACTGTCACTGTCTTTATTTTATTTTTTAAATCTTCACTGGAGGACATTTTCGTTGATTTTTTAAAATTTTTATTATTTTTTTTTAGAGAGAAGGAGAGAGAGAAACATCAATGTAAGAGAGAAACACTGATCAGTTACCTTCCTCATGTGTCCCAACTAGGGTGGGGATTGAACCTGAAAGCTGGGCATGGGCCCCCGACTGGGAATCGAACCTGAGACCTTTTGGCATATGGGGCAATGCTCCCACCAGCTGAGCCACACCGGCCAGGGCCAGACCACCACTTTCAACCAGAAGTCCACCTAAGCAGGGCTGGCAAAGTAGGTACTACCATGCCTGTCTCCTGGCAGACATTGCTAATCACTTGCAGCTCTCTATCCCCTCTGATTTACGGGCTTTGGACAGTTTCTCAACACAAGGCTCCAGGCAGGCAACACCAATTGATCAGGGTGGCCTTGTTCATCTCACTATCCATCACTGCCCTATGGCAAACATCCCCCCCCCCCACCACCATTTTCATGTCCCCACTCTCCCATTTCCTCCGGCTCAGCCCTTTCCTGGTCTGTCTCCAAAGCCACTTCCGCTCCCTCCATTCCAAAGGACCAAAGCTTGCCAAGGTCACAGACAACCTCTTTGCTGTGAAAACATTCCCTAGCCCTCCCTGACCTCTGAAATGCTTGACATTTTTCTGCATTCCTCCTTCCCTGGCCTGCCCCTGCCCCTAGTCTACGGCCTCCTGGAAGACACCCCAGTAGGTGGGTTGCTGCTCATCAGCCTTGGAGACCTTCAGCTCAAACCCCTCCCTTTACAGGTGATGAAACTGAAGCCCAGAGAAGAATCGGACTTGTGCAAGGTCACACAAGTAAAGGGAACCCCAGCTCCCAATCCACTACAAGCAAGTCCTACAATGACTGTTGGGGAGCTACAGGTCCCCCATCTCCTCTCCCACAATATCCTATACACACACACTCAACAGAAGCTTTAACCATGAAGTTTCTTCCTCATGGTGTAACATTTACTTTCCCATCTCTGTGCCTTTGCTCAGGTGGTTTCCTCTACCATAAATGCTCTTCCGCTGCCCTGATCAAAATCCCTTACACCCAGCCTCCTCCAGGAAGCCTTCTCTGAGTCACTATGGCCTAGTGGTTAAGAGCAAGGGCCTTAATCCTAGAATCCCAGTTCTGACACTAACTTAAGTGAATTAATTACCTTCCTTGAGCCTCAGTTTTCTCATCTATAAAGTGGGGGAAACAAGTCCCCAGCTTACAGGGCTGTTCTGACCTTTTGATGAGATAATAAAACGTAACATGCTCAGCAGAAGGCCCCGCCGACAGCTATGCCTCCTAGTGGCCTCATCCCTCCTGTCAGCGGGTTGTTCCTGCCTCCTGAGTGTGGACTTCCTTTTCTTACCAGTCAAGCAGCTGCCTACCATGTGTCTTCCTCTTGAAGGACTTCCATTCTTGCCTCCCCCAGAAACTGGTATGGAGGTGCATTCCTGCCCAACGGTGCTGTTCTGCCTGTCCTACTTCTCCCTTGCCCACCTTCCATCCCCCACGGCCCTCCTAGGACCAGCAGATCCTCCTCCCCCTCTAGGGAAGCCAGCCTCTGCTTCTACAGTTCTGGGCACGACTCCTCTCTTTAATGAGGTGTATGGTCTCTCATGCCCCATGCCCTCTTCAAGACACCAGCACCTAGAAGCTCTCCATATACACAGAGGTAGAATTCAAATACCACGCTCCTGTTCACTGCTCAGCCACCTCACATAGGCTGGAGGAGCCTGGGCTTCAGGAAGAGCTCCCAGAGGGCCCCAGACAAAATACAGGCTTGAGTCCACACCCTTGTTCTGGTCTGGGTTATTTTTGGTCCTGTGGTGGGTAATGACTAGCTATTTTAACGCTGCAATTTTACAGATGACCTATCAGAGTTAGCTGGGGATAGACCATATGCCCAGTCTAACTTGGGGCTGCAAACATGTGCTCTATCCTCATTAAGACCCCCTGCCCAGGAGTCAGAGGTGCCCCTACACAGGTGCCCCTATGCCCTTTCTGCAGCCCCAGGTGACCTGACCTGGCTGGTATCTGGAACATCAGAGTTGCAGCTAAACCCATTGCCTGGGGGGAAGCTCTGACTGGGGCCCTAGCCTCCAGTCTCCCCCGCCTGGAGGGGAGATGGCCTCAGAACCCTCAAAGTGACATCTCCGAAGGGGTATCAAGCTCTGCTGTGACCTGGAGTGTGCTGCTCCTCTAGGCCATGGTTTCCTTATCTAACAAATGGGTTCAGCCCCTCAGGAGCCTCATCAGAAAAAAGTTCAGGATGTGAAAAGTGCTAGGCAAATTTCAGAAGTTGTTAAGATCATGCCCTGGCTGGGTAGCTCAGCTGGTTAGAGCGTCACCCCGATAAGAATGAATCAATGAATGCATAAAGAAGTGGACCAACAAGTCAATGTTTCTCTCTCTAAAATCAGTATTTTTAAAAGTTGTTAATGTTATCAAGAGAAAATTTAAAAACGATAATAGCAGCAGCTACCATTTCCTAAGTACCTACTTACACTGAGAAAAATACGCTGCCAAGGTTAAAACAATGGGGTCTGGAGATGGGCTGTGGGGTTCATATTCCCTCCACCTCCCTGCTCCTGTTTCCTCTAGATGGGGATAATACCACTACCCACCCCATGGGGTTCATATTCCCTCCACCTCCCTGCTCCTGTTTCCTCTAGATGGGGATAATACCACTACCCACCCCATGGGGTTCATATTCCCTCCACCTCCCTGCTCCTGTTTCCTCTAGATGGGGATAATACCACTACCCACCCCATGGGGTTCATATTCCCTCCACCTCCCTGCTCCTGTTTCCTCTAGATGGGGATAATACCACTACCCACCCCATGGGGTTCATATTCCCTCCACCTCCCTGCTCCTGTTTCCTCTAGATGGGGATAATACCACTACCCACCCCATGGGGTTCATATTCCCTCCACCTCCCTGCTCCTGTTTCCTCTAGATGGGGATAATACCACTACCCACCCCATGGGGTTCATATTCCCTCCACCTCCCTGCTCCTGTTTCCTCTAGATGGGGATAATACCACTACCCACCCCATGGGGTTCATATTCCCTCCACCTCCCTGCTCCTGTTTCCTCTAGATGGGGATAATACCACTACCCACCCCATGGGGTTCATATTCCCTCCACCTCCCTGCTCCTGTTTCCTCTAGATGGGGATAATACCACTACCCACCCCATGGGGTTCATATTCCCTCCACCTCCCTGCTCCTGTTTCCTCTAGATGGGGATAATACCACTACCCACCCCATGGGGTTCATATTCCCTCCACCTCCCTGCTCCTGTTTCCTCTAGATGGGGATAATACCACTACCCACCCCATGGGGTTCTTGTGAGGATGAAACGAATTCACACGAGGTAGGCTTAGAGCCATGCCTGGTACATACCAAGTGCGGCTGAAGTGTGAGCTATTGTTATTTCCAAGGGTCAAGGGCAAAGAGCTTTAATGTATACACGGCCATTTGCAGTATTTGATAAGAAGAGTCAAGGAGATATTAGGATTCCCGTCTCAGGTCAGGAAGCTCAGAGGAGTCTGGCCATGGTTCATAACTGACAGCGCTGGGTCTCGAATCCCACAGCCCACGCTCTTTACCCACTCGCCGCCACCGTGCCCTTTCCTATGCAAGGCAGGAGTCAGACTCAGGCTCCCCCAGGAGGGGGCGGGCGTGCTGCCCTGCAGGACTGCCTGAGAGGGGTGTCCGGCTCACCCTCAGTAGGCAGCAGATGACCTGGCTCCTTCAAGCCACATATCCCTCTGCTGCCAGACCTGTGAGAAGCAGGATCCCAGCCTCCAGTTAAATGTTCCTTGTACCTGCTGTCCCTCTGGCTGGAATGCTGTTCCCAGATTCCTCCCTCCCTGTATTCATACATGTGTTCCAAAGTCACCTTCTCCGAGAGGCCTTCCCTGACTTCCAGCACTGACACTATCAGTGCCCCTCCTTTATCCCCTTGGTGGGTACCATTTCCACAAACGCCACCTGACATATCACTCTCTGCCTGCAGCTCTCTTTGGCTGCTAGAGGTGCCCATGCAGACTGGGAGCATTAGAGTTCCTATCCCTAGAAGCCCTGCACCCACCACTGAGGGAACTGCCCCTCAAACAGAGTAGAGTAACTGCAGAGCACTATCTACAACTCCTCCCAAAGCTCCCCACAGGATGGCGCTCCAGTCGCCCACAGTGGTAAGTGATTCAGTGTTCACTTTTTGGACTCCCTTCCCTGTTTACTTCTCCTAATACTATTTCCTGGGACCAAATAAATGACCTGTACTCACATCTATTTTTTTAAATTTTTATTTATTGATTGATTTGAGAGAGAGGAAAGGAGAGAAAGAGAAACATCAATTTGTTGTTCCACTTATTTATGCATTCATTGGTTGATTCTTATATGTGCCCTGACCCAGGATCGAACCCACAACCTTGGCTACTGGTCAGGGTTTGTACTCAGATCTTTGTCTCAGCATCTGCTTCTAGAAGAACCCAAATGAAAATACCACCCTATGTAAAGAAGCTACCCCATCATTTCTTCACTCCACTTTACCTGTCTTCATAGCTTCACCACTACCCACAACATACTACCCATTTGCACCCTGGTCAACCTACCTTCTCCACCAGACAGTAAACACTATCAGAAGGGAGACCAACTCATTCACCAGACTCCCCAACACCTCTATCAGTGTATGACACATAGTCAGTGCTCAATAAATATTATGGCCTGAGTGTTTATATCTTTTATCGTAAATATGAAAAATAAGCATGAACAGATCCTCTGCCCCCCCTTCCACCATGAACTAGCTTTACTGAACCTGTGCCTCATATTTCATTAGCTGTTCTCACTGAGTTCTCTGATAGGCTGGCACAACCCAGAAGGAGCCTGAGGGTCAGAGGGACCCTCTTGGAAAAAAGGGTGCTAAGGGACCAGGGTGAGTCACTCTTCCGACAGCTGGAAGAAAGGAAAATCCCTGGCCAGAGACTGAGATAAAACTTTTATGGTTCCCGAAGAGATGGGAGGAAAAATCACATGTGGGAGAGGGAGAGAATCCCCTTCGAAGTCAGGATTAACTGGGAGACAATGGGCCATGAGGTTCAGTGCAAAGAAGCCTGGGGTGCTGGCTTTGCAGTGTGACCTTGGGCAACCTGCCTCCCTTCTCTGAGCTTCAGTTTCTCCACAAATAAAACAATGATCATGCTTGGCCCTGGCTGGGTAGCTCAGCTGGTTAGAATGTTGTCCCCATACACCAAGGTTGGGGGTTTGATCCCTGGTCAGGACACATACAAGAATCAGTCAAGGAATGCATAAATAAGTGGAATAACAAATTGATGTTTCTCCCACTCCCCTCCTCTCTCTCTACAAATCAATTAAAAAAATTTTTGTTAATGATCATGCTAATCCCAGGTGAGGACCCTGAGGTGTGATGTGAGGAGCAGGTCACAGCTGATAGCAGATGTCAAGTGTACCCCTAACTCCACCTGTTTCAATTTGGCCCCAAAACAACCTAGCCCTCAAGGTCTGAGCCCAAGGCCTAGCTGGGAACCACCATAGGTCCGGCTGCCCCCACATCCCACCCCAGACACACCTCACAGTTTCCCTCTCTATCTTGTGTCCACTACTGTCCTCAGGGGTAACCAGCCCAACATGGGATGGGCCTGCACCTGCTCCTCCCATGGCCAGAGTCCATGAGGCACAATGTTAACATCTGGGCTGGGGATTTGGTGCACAGCCTCTCGGAAGCTGTGTAGGAAACTCTGGGTCAGGGTCGGTGACTCCACTTCCATCAGCCTCGGTTCCTTTATCTCTAAAATGGATCTGATAAGAATCCTTGCTCTCATCTCACAGGAGCAAATGAAATAATGGAAATGAAAACACTGCGTAAACCATTAAATGACAAAAGCAGTAGTTACCATTTATCAAACTCTTTCTCTATGTCAGGCAAAACATGATTTCATTTAACCCCGACAAAAACAAAATCTTAGGAGAGTATTACTACCATTATTTATAATTTACATATGAGGAACTGAGACTTAATAATGAGGGACAGATGGTAATTTGACCCAGATCATTCTGGGTCCAGAAAGCTTCAGGACAGCATTCTGGGCTTACTGGGGGACAGTAGGAGAGAGGGGTTCGCCTCTTCCTTCTGCAGGTATAGACAGGCTCTGAGACCCCCCCAAAAACTTGTTCAACCACACTATCAGTCATGTGGAATGCACATATAACAGGCGACAGAAGGGGAGTGGGAGAGAAGTAAACTACCAATTAGGTGCCAGAAGGAAGCATGATTAACAGTAACTTTCTCAACAACCCTACCAGGTTAGAATTTTTACCCCCATTTTACAGATGAAGAAACTGAGGATCAGAAAGGACAAGTGACTTGTCCAATATCAGAGCAGGCAGGAGAAACTGTTTTCTACCAACCAAGATTTCCAGTTCCCCAGATTCAGGGGGGCTTCTAAGGTTCCTTCCCTTGACCTGCATCCCCTCCTGCCCTCATCCCAGGAGAAAATGGCAGGGTTTCCCCACTGGAACAGTTCATCATTCTCAGAAGTCCTGCTCAAATCCCACAAATATTTAAAGGGGCTATTTTGGGATTCATAAGTGTGGGAGATGGTGTGTGCCTGGCCCTAAGGGGTCTCTGACCCCACCCCGACCCACAAGCACAGCCCACCTTCCCAATGCCAGTCTCAGTTTAGGAGGCCGCGGCAGCTGGAACAGCAGAGTTCAAGAGGAGGGGCAGGGAGGGTTCTCTAGGCCCAGACACGCTGGCACTCCTGGGCTGAGGGAACTGCGACTCCCCTGGCTGAGCCCAGGAACGCAAAGGCAAGCGGGTGGGGGTGGCTGTACTGTCAGTGGTTTCCTGGTGGGGGAGAGGCCAGCGTCCAGGTGGTTGGCAGGGGGGTGGGAGTGTGTAGGAGTCCTGGCTTTGGCTCCATCTACCAGGAAGGCCTCTGTGACTCCAGACAAGCCACCCGGTTTGTCCTCACGAAAAAGCAGGGACTTAGGTTGGGTTTCTCAGGCCTCAGGAGAAGGTGCCAGGTGACGGCTTCCCTTAGAGTAACTCGAGACGGGGAGAGGAGGCCGGATGAGGCCCCTCCCAGGCGCCCTGGGGAGAGGTGGTGTAGAGTAAGTTACTCCCCTGGGCGCCCTGGGACCTTGGAAGCCCGAGGGGGAAGGTGTAAGAGAAAACAGGTTTCAAAAACAGCCAGGACGCCAGCCTCCACACCTGGGCTCGGCTACAGGAGGGGACGCAGGGGTCTAGGGCCGGGTGTGTGGTACCTCCCGAGCCCCGAGGCTGACCTCGACCCAACTTCAAGTAGGTACCTGCGAAACCAGGCTCGTACCTGGGACAGTTTCTAGGCGCCTGGGAGTCAAAAGATCACCTCCGAGGTTGGACAGGTGGAGGGGGCAAGATGGGCTCCGGCCGGCCGCTAGCGTCGCGGCTGGGGCGCACGGGTGAGAGCTTGGGGCACACTCCCCTCCCCGGGGCACGCACGCGGAGCTCCGGCCTCCCCTAGCTGTCCAGGGCGGCGGGGTGGGGAGGTGCCGGGGGTCGCGCAGGTCCCCCCTCCGGACCTGCCAACCCTTTCCCACTGCTTCTGTCCCTCCTGCCCAGCGGCTCTGAGCCGGCACCAGGCGGGAGGCACGGCTTGACCCCGGGCGACCCCGAGCCCC